AAAAATAGAAATAACAAAATAAATCCTAAATGGAAATGAGACTAATATCATTGACCCTTGCATCACAAAAGCTGCAATCAAAGTTGTGATTCAGATAGTTTAATCCCAGAAACATTTTTGTTTTTGCTTCCTACATTCTTGTATTCATTAACTAGATTCTGCAAATCTTCAACCAAATTGTATAACTGGTTAATTAAATCGTCTTGCATTTTTATAGTATATATCACCCAAATTTAAAATCCTCTTCTTCAAATCATCAGCACGTTTTGTCACATGTTCTTCAGGTGCTTTAATTAATTCTTGTTTCATATAGCGATTCGAAAAAAATAACATTAAAAAAATATTATATTAAAAATTATAAAAAAAAATCAATACTACTCTTCTTCATAATTAGATGCTAATATAAATATTTATTTAAAAATATAAAAAATATGTAATATACTATTCATCTACAGTACTGTAAAATGGCAGAATACACTTTGGTAGCTTATGGAAATTAATCCGGAGGAAAAAGTAACTGGATACCCTTATCTTTAATTTTTTTTCGGTATTCGTTCTCCAACCCCAACTGGTTCCCCTTCCCTTTTGAAAATAAAACATTGCCTTTCCCTTCTCCCTCTAATCCTTCTCACCCAGCCCTAACTGATTCCGCTCTTAAAATCAACCAAAAAACCATCTGAAAATTTAACCCACCGCCCTTTCCAATGCACTCTTGGCTGGTTGCTCTTTTCCAGAATTTGTGCAATCCTCACCCAGTCGACCAGTCCCATCGGTCACCACTTTAAATTAAATCCCCCAAATCCCATTTTAAGATCCTTCCCTCTATAATCCCTTGAACCTAAATCTAGAAAATACTCTAAACCCATATAGATCGATCACCATCGAATTCTCTAAATTCAAAATCATAGAGTAAAAACAAAAGGGATGAACAAAAGGATCCTTATTTGGGAGCAGAAGTCGACGCCGGAGAAAGCAATGTTGGTTTTAGAAAAAAAAGAATTATAAGGAGAGGTCGACTACAGGGAAGATTTGTCATTCAGATGACCTAAAATCATTTTTTCTATAAATGCATGACTTATTTTATTGTTAAATTGTTAAATGGTTGGCTGCAATCTTAAAAACTTGACGGAATATGTCTAGCATACCTATTGTTGCTTAATCCTCTCTCGAACTTTGTTAGCCTCTTCTTAGTTGATGTAGTTAGAATTAGGGTTCAACTCGTTCTTTATATATTAGTTAAGAGGATAAGTCTGGAGGATAATCTAATAGCGTTTAAATAGAATTGAAATATGCAAGTTCACATTTCTATTGGTCAAGGAGAAAAAAAATGCTATTTAACTTTTTTTTTTTATCAGAGTATTTGTGATAAAATTTAATTATTTAAATAGAAAAATCGAATAAACTGAACTTAAACAAAATCAGATTTTTATCAGGTTTGGAATGCCATTAATGTTTACCGCCAGTATGTATTTATACTTTTTTGACTGATTCTTTGAAGTTTGTTGTTCTACAGTGCTATAATGGGCATACACTCTGTTCAATTAAGTTTCTTTTTGATATTGTAATGTATGTCGATGGGATTAGAAGATTCCAACCACCTTATTGGAGGGCTTCTTGTAATGTGTTAACATTATAATGTTTTTAGCTATTTTATTAATTCAATGCTCGGGATTTTCAATTTCTCAGGGGAAGCTATGGATAGGTTTTAGTTCTTTCTATTTAGGGGCACTCAACTTCGGTTGTAGTCCTTTAGAATGTTTTTAAAACTTCACTTATTAGCTATTATTGTTGCAATTGCCAATTTAAGAGACATATTTTGGTTTCATTTTATTTTTCAGGTGATGATGGACCAGCTTCAAATGAAATGCTTTATTGGAGCCTATTATTAAAGTTATGTAAAATTATTTTATTAAGATTTTATCATTTAATTTAATTTTAGTGGTTTTGTTTTTTTTTTTTTTCCTTCATAACATGAAGCTCATTTATGATGTTTGTAGCATTAGTGCTAATAAAATAAACTATATGAAATATTTAATGATGACATGAATTTTTATATAAATTTTTTTTAAATTTTTATATAGTTTTCATAATTATATGTGCACTTAATAAGATATTCTTCATTGTTCTTGACTTTGTAGTCTATGCTAAAAGAAATCTTTAATGAAAGAAATAAAAATTATAAGAATTCAATTGCTAAATCTAAAAAGGTTGAGAGATGAAATAGAAAATTTTAAATGTGACGTTAGGGGCTTATTTGAATG